GCTAACATTTATTTTTATTGACGAATTTATTTTGAGCTAAAAGCTGAATGGTAGAAGGTGAACGCATAGATTTTTCGCCATTAGTTCATTTTCCAGGTAAAATTATAACATTATCCACAGGCATTAATTCATCGTGTTGTTTCAAAATTTAAAAATTGATCAATTGATCATTGATCCAGGGCTCTTTTAGGAAAATAAAAATAGCTGACAGTTTTAATGTTACTTCAGTTGAATAGTTCAAAGCTAGATGAATATTTGTTCATCAAATATCTTTCCATCTTAAATTACGTGTCAAAGTTAAAATAGCATATTATAATTAATTTGTTAGATGTCGGTTGTCAGCCACATTTCAGATATACATATATTAATCACAAATGATTGAAATTTATGTTGGTTAAAAATAATCAATTGCACCACAACTATTTCAGACATTCTCTTCTCATTGAATTAGCTCAGTATTTTATGTTTGTTAATAACATCGTAATATTATTATATCCCAATAGATTTATGTTCTATTCTATTTATATGCTGCATATGACTATATTTCAGTTTTCTTGAATCATTATTACCTATATCAATTTTTGCACACCATCCAAGTCACGTCGAACGGAATTGATAACCCGTTTATAAGCGAGCCTTCTTCTATTTTTTTTTTATTATTTCATATTAAGTTATGCAGATGGGTTAGATACATTCATCGGGCTCGTTGTATTACAAATTACTAGTTTGTTCACTTGCTAGTACTACAGACCAGTTTTTGTACAGCTCTATTTATGCGATCCAGTTAATCTTCTAAAAACTTGCGTCGATCAGATCATGATCCACTCGGATGAGAACCGAATAGAAGATCTATAAACGTCAGGAATAATAGTCACTTTAAATGATATAGGAGTAGTACAACACAAATAGTCATTTAAAATGATATAAATTATGATTGTGTATAGTATATTGCTAGGATTCGATTAATGTATAAAAAATTTTAATACAGGCATTAGTAGGAAAGCTATTAGCAAGTACTTTACATTACACATTAGTTTTTTTAAGGAGCACAACTAGTGTAACCGCCTAAGTAAAGGTGATTTTTGGCAATTTATATTTAAAAAAATACTTATCAAACATTTCAAAATTTTAAAAAATATTTACATATGTTTAAGAATACATAGTAAAAGTTTTGAAGAAAAAAAAATTAATATTTTTTAAGTTATCGTCGATCCCCAACGGCGCGAAAAAAAGGCCCTTCACTGCTGCAGCGATTCCGGGCCTTCTACGTGGATCAAATTAAAAAAAGTCATTAAACTAGATAATATTGTCTGTAAAATGACCTACGATAGAAAAAAAATCAAAAATTGATAAAATGGCGGCGTTTTTTAAAAAAAAGTCGAATTTTACTCAAAATTTTGGTCGTTTTTGGACTGCCAAAATTCGATTTCTGATCCGATCACAAAATCGATAGTTCATTTTACGGAGAACTATATATAGAACATGTAAAAAAAAAATTGGTAGTGATCGGATCATTTGTTTTTGAGTAATCGCCGCAGCAAATTCGGAAAATGCTGTTTCGAGAAAAACGCGTTTAAGATAAAATGATCGTTATACTATATACTATATATATACTCTTTAAATGGCTGTCACTCAAAAACTATTTAAGATATCGATTTAAAATTTTGGTATGTTATTTTTAAAGGTATAACCTATCGAAATATGGAAAAATTGAAAAACCGATTTTTTTGAAATTACTAGTTGTGCCCCTGAAAGTGAATATATAAATATTTGAAAATATAATATGACACGTAGTTGAACAGAAAAAACTCAAATTTTGTTACTAATCTGCAATATATTATATTTACAATTTACTAAATTCCTAAAGCGTAATCTTTTGAAACTT